TATATATATATATATATATATGGATCTTTTAAAAATTGACGCTTGCATTGAGATTCATGTGTCATACTCTGATGCTCTTATCTTTCTGTTTGGATCTTTTGATGATAAATTCTTAAAATAAAATCTAAGGATAAGGGGATAAATTTAAGTTGGTCTTAGCTTACTTAAGATTTTTTGTCAATCAATTCTACACTTATGGTTCATAACTCAAAGTATAGAAAGTTTTGGGATCTCACTCGTAAAGGTTATTTGAAGGACCACACAACATGAGGGCTAGAAAACCCTTTTATGGTCACAATTTGTCATGATATTGACCAAAGCATCTTATAGATAGTTAGGCAAACTATACTCCCCGAGGCAACCCCCTAAAATATTCACAAGATTAAATAAACTTTTCTTCATAATCGTATTTATCATCATAGCTAAGACTTTATTTTAAGTGAAGGTTGCTTCTTTGCTTGAACCTTCCAATAACAAACCCTTGGATTAAGATCTAAAGGTTATGTAATTTTCCACCTTGCACTTGGATGGTGTGGGAAATTATAAATAACCCAACCAAAATCTCATGTTTTAATTATAATCATAGCTCGTATGTGGCTTAATGACTTCTTGGCCTTTAAGTTATGAACCATAATGGAACAATTGATTGGCACAAAATTTTCTTCGCAGTTGCTACCAGAGACATAATTAAATGATTTTCAACAAATGACACCATTATATTGCAACTACAACCACAACTCATACGTTCCCCATATATGGGTTTGACCTACCCAGTTCTCTATAAAATGTGTTGGTCAATGTTAAGAGCCACTATGGTTATATAATGTTTTCTAATCCATAGGTGTATAAGATGTTTGGGATTTCAATTAACCTTTACAGGTGAGAGGAAATGATGATGACTACAATCAGTAAAATGGAAATACAATAGAATGATAAACCATCCCAAGTGAAGTCATAAGAAAGATGGACTTCAAAAATTTGACGACCTAGATCTTGTTGGTGAAAGGGTTATCAAATTAATACTAGTAGAATATGTTGTTGGTCATCCCCCCCCCTCCTCAATATATCTATAGCAATCAAATATAGATTTATTTTTATTTTCATTAATGGGAGGATTATTGAATTTGAGTCGATATGGTGATTGAGACCAACAAAGCTCCCCTCAAGTTGTTATCTTTCATCACAATGGTAGGTCAAAATGAAATCAACCAAATTTTACATGGTGAATATAGTGGTGTGATACACAAAAATAATGTACTTTTTATGTATACATTTTATGCTTATTTTGGTGATATTGCACTTTAAAGAATGGTGTCTTCATCTCTTTTGTTACAAGTATATCAATTTTAGGCATTTAGAGCAAAAAGTAGCAGGAAGGAGGAAATTTGGAGCCAAAATAGTGATTTTCATGATCCTGGCAGCAAAAACTGGCGTCAGATGTGCCATTTTACAGAGAAGCAATGTCAGAACCAGAATTGGCTCTAGAAGAGCTAGTATCCAAAGAATAGCACTGACTTCCTTAAGCTGGCGCCAGAGGCGCTAAAACTGGTGCAAAAAGTGGCAAAGACAAATTAATATGGAGTAAGGCAGTTCATGATTATTTTTGAGCAATTTTTGAAGAGTGATTGAATGCATCTAGACACTTTGGAAATACTCATTAATGAAGAGATATGTTTCTTAAATGAAGGGACTTGTCTCTTTGTGGTAAAAGATGTGACTTTTGGGGAGAAAATTGGAGGGAATTTTAAATTCCTTTTGAGTGAAGGCTTGTCTTAATTAAAAGGGAGAGGAGTCTAGAGATGAGGAGGGAGCGTGAGATTGAGAGAAAGGTTTTGGCGTGAGAGAATTCTTGGAGAAGAGAGGATTTTCTTCAAGGGTTATAAGAGGAGAGGGAATATGAGAGATTTCTTCTTCATTACACTTCTAAGAGAGAATTAAGTTTGATTGTAAAGAGAGAAAGTGCTTAAAGAGAACTTATAGGAATTTGCTTGAGAAGGAGTGTGAGATAAGTTGAGTTATTTTCTTTCTTTATTTTGTAAGCATGTTTTTATATATGAAATCCATGTTTTTTTGTATCCTTCTCATGAATTCTAAGTAGTCTTCTTTATCCTTCTCCCTACAATGAGATATGGTTTTGTAAAGAATTAGTTTTGTTTTGTAAGGTTTTAAATATCAATAAATTGTGATGATTCAAACTCTGATCTTCATTTACTTTTCGATCTGGTCAGCTGAAAGGTTAAAATTTATTAAGGACCATACGATCCGAAAGGGCTATGCTTTCTACAACAAGATAAGATTTACATTCAATTTCATGGGTGAGAATGTAATCTATGGGGTTGAATGCAAATAAATAGGAAATATACTTTGATGGGCGCAAAATTAAAGATTTTAAGGTGACAGATTAAAATCTCCAATTCATTCCAATTGCTTGGAAACTAAAGTAAGATTGTTAGCCCTCAGGTGAGGGAGAAGTGGGAGCTCTGGTGTGACAGCTAGTATCCTCTTTTAACCACAGATTTAGGGACCAAACTCTGGATTAGTCAATGTTCTTTATTCACTCTCAGAGGATAAAAAATAGGATTGCTCCTATTTAGCATAAAACAATTTTATATATGTATCTTAAATGATTTTAATTTTTTCACACTCCATAAACTCATTGTAAAAAGGAATGATGCCTTCTTAAATTTGAACTCTTCGTTTCAAAACTTTGTTTAATATTTATAAGTTACTTTTGAAGTTTAGCAATTAGATAATTAACTTAGTTCTTTTAACTGTATTTCATTTAGCTCACATTAAATATACTTTAGATTTGTTTTGCTTACTTAAGTTTTATAATTTGATTATTGTGTTTGACGTTATAACTATAAGGATTTCCAAATCCCTATGGGATCGATACATATGACTCCTTTAG